CCCACAGCTCCCTGCCCAGCTCACCGGGAGCTCAGCTGAGGCTCACTGGGCAGCAGGATCCAGGCTGGCAGGGGGCCGTCGGCAGGAAATGAATGTCCCACGGCCAGTGACAAACGGCCACGCATTTGGTGGCTTAAATACACACACTGACTTTCTTGCAGATCTGGACGTCAGAATCGACTGCCAAGGCCTAGGCAGGGCTGATCCCTTCGAGCTGAGAAGCAGAGGCCACATCCTGTCTTTCCTGGCCTTGGAGGGGTGGCCCTCTCTTCCATCTTCCATGCTAACGGTACACCCCCACCTCTGACGCCCTCTGTAGGAACCCCGTGACGATGGGGTCTGGGATGCCACCCATCTCAGGGTCTTTAACTTGGTCTGCACAGCCTGCTGGCCAGGGAAGGTGCTGCAGTCAGGTCCTTGCTCCGGACGTGGGCATCCTGGGGGAGGGGGACGTCCTGCCCGCCACCCAGACAGGGCGCCAGCAGCCCTTGGGGCTAGCGGCAGCCTGAAATGTGCATCAAAATTCTCCCCAGCAGATCTGGCTGTGGCTCCGGGCGAGACCCCAAGAAAGCAGCACCTGGGGCCTTGGAGTCGGGACTGGGCAGCCCCGAGTCCAGGTGTAGGGAAGCTGCGCTCTGTGACTGGCTTATTTTTTGTTTTCAGTTGGAAGTGGAATTCACATAAGATAAAAACGAACCGTTCTGAAGCGCACAGTCCAGGGCATTCGGTCCCCTGCGGTGTTGCACACCCACACCTCTGTGTAGGCCCAGAGCATTCTCACCCCAGGGAAGACCTGAATGCCAAGGGCTAGTCGCCTCCTATCCCCTGCCCTAGGCCCGGGGGCCAGCCTGCCCGCCTCTGCCGGCCTGCCTGTGCCGGACATCTCATGGGCACGGATGCATCTTTCACTTGGCAGCAGGTTTCAAGATGCGTCTGTGTTGTAGCGCGTGCTGCGGCTTCATGGATTTTATGGCCCCAAACTGTTGTGCTGCATGAATGCGCTGTGTGTGTCTGTCCCCCTCAGTGGGTGGGCACTCAGGTTGCGTCCTCTGGCTGGCCACTGTGAGTAGCACACCCATTCACGCGGGCATGTGCCCGGGGTGGGGGGTGGGGTCTGTGGAGGGCCACCCCACTTTTCCCCAGTGCCTTCCCTGGCAGGGTGGTCAGGGGTGGGAGTGAAGCGGAGGCTCTGTGTGGGACCAGGCAGCAGGGAAGGGGTGCCTGGGAGAGAGATGAGAAGGGCCTGTCCTGTTTGAGAGCGAGTGTTCATGGCTACCCCATCCCACATGATTACGGGGCCAGTCCCAAAGAAGTCGCCTGCTGAGTCTCACCGCTTGACTTTGAGGGCGATGTCAGTAGATTTCCTGGGAGCGACAAATCAGGTGCCGGCTCACATCCTGTCCTCAGTGGAGGTGAGCGAAGTCACCTTGACCAAGGTCACGGCTGACCCATCAAGGTGTAAAACAACACGGGTGACACTGGCCTGGGGTAACACCACCAACAGCAGGATGGAGCGTGGAGCTGCTGGGGGCCTCACTGTGGGTGACCAGTGACTTCCCAGGTGTGGGGCAGCTGTCTTGAAAGAGATGCCTCCTACCACAGCCGCTGCTGGCAGGACTGTCACTCCCCGTGGTTGCCAGTGACCCCCGGAGGGGTGGACATGCTGGAAGGGGTGTCCCTATCCTCTGTTGTGCTGACCTCCAGGGGCACTTGCCTGCCGCGCTTGCCCACATAAGCTCCAAGCCCCAAAGCTGCACATGCCTTAGCAGGGCTCTGGTTGCAGGGCTGCAGCCAGAGCCCCTCCCCCACCACGTGCTGCTCTTGGCCTTCGTCTCTTGTGGTCAGTGGATTTATCAGCTAGCTCTTTGGGTCATTCATTCATTCAGTCTCTGGAGCACCAGAAACATGTACGGGGGAACTGAGGGGCGCAAGAAGGCGATGCTTTCTGGGGCCTCCCCCTGACAATGCCACTTACAGGAATCCCATCAGGAGGGGACCTGTGACAACAGGGTAACGGGGGCTGAGCCTAATTGGGCCATCCATAGCTGTACTCTGGAAGCTTGCTCCAATCCCCACTGAAGCCTGGTGAGGTGGCTGCCTCCTAGCTTGTGCTGCCCATGCCAGGACAGCAAGCAGGCACTGAGTGGCAGAGCCCCTGGCTGCCACCTGGGCTTCTTCCACAAGAGCCCAGAGCCTTGACCATGGCTTGCTGATGCCGGTCTGGCCCCTGCAGTGCCCCGTGAGGCACTTATGACAGGCACTTCATGTGGGCTGTGCTGCAGACACCTCCCCACTATCAGCTCAGGAGGGTCTGGGGCCACTCAAGGCCACATGGTCCAGGGTGGTGTGGACGTTCGCTGGCAGAAGCTGCGGCTCCATCGCCAGCCTTGGCTTCTGGGAAGCTGCTCATGAGCTGCTGGTGCCCTGCACCCCTCTTATCCACCACTGTGAAGTCCCTGCACTGGGAGGTGAGGACAAGGGACACAGCTCACTTCCCTAATTCCAGAGGCCCTTGGACTGGAGCTGGCCTCATCCAGTCACCCAGAAAACCCATTCCTAGGTGGGAAGGGTGGAAGTCCCCCCACAGCGCGAGGGCAAGCTGGCTCCTCACCTCCAGGCGCAGACTCCCTTTCTCCTCTCACTTCCTGATTTCCAAGTCTGCTCTGTGTGGCTGGGTCCTGGGCACGGGGCCGACTCCAGACCTGGTGAAAGGGCAGGGCTCTGGGAGGCAGGAAGACAAGGGGCGGGGAACTGAGCTGGCATTTCCTACTCAGTGGTACATTCTGGGAGTGGACTATACCTTCCTGGCCCTCAGTGTTTTCACCTGCAAAATGGGCCTGGAGAGCTCCTTGGTGTCAGCTCTGACTTCCTCTCTCCTTCCCAGGATCTAGTCCCATCCCTGGTGCCCTCTTTCTCTTCTCCAGTGAATCTTGTGGGCAAATAGGAACAGGGCAGCCTCCCACCTGACCTCAGCCCCTCTGACCAGCCATGTCCAGAAGCAGCCTGGGGCCTCTCAGACTCAGCTGGTGCTGTTGGGTTCCACAGTGACTCTCAGAGTGTGGCCATGGGGTGGAGGGCTGGCCCTCTTCATTCAAGATGTTCGTGCCCCAGGCCCGGGCCAGCAGCCTGTCGCCACACCCATGTCACCATGTCACGGCTGCTCTGCACCTGCCCTGCTGTCTGCCCTGCCCTCCAGCCTCACCCTTCTAGGCCGCTGTGGTGGGTAGGTTTGGCCTGGGGGCGCTTCCTCCTATTTCTGCTGGCTTTGTCCTCAAGGCCACCCGGGCCCTGCATGTTCTGCACCCCAGCTTCTTGCAGGGCCTCCCCTGGGGCCACCCTTACAGCAGATCTTGCACTCAGTGCATTTGTTCAACCTTTGTCCAGCACGACAGCCACGAGCCACACATGGCCACCAAGGGGACAGGAGTCAGACGAAGCCAGGTCTGTGCTACGCCCATGCGTTTCAAGAGGCTGCCTGCGTGGTAACCACACGGAACTGCCCAGCTCTGCTTTCTGTGCCTCTGCAGACTTGGCCTCAGGCAGCATCCTCTTACAGGAAGGGGACCTGGAACTGCAGCCCCACACAAGGTCCCCTCAGGCGTCCCCTGGGGTTCCCTGCCAGCAAGCTCGCTTGGAGGCTGGATGACGCCTGCCTGCCCAGACAGCAGGAGCAGCTTGGCAGTGCAGGAGGGAGAGCTTTGCAGGTGGTGTCAGGGGCAAGTGGGCCTCTCCATGCCCATACTCTGGGTGAGGCTGGATGCCCGGCAAGGCTTGGTGTCCTCTCCCTGAGCCTGCTACTGACCTTCCACAAGTGGATCCCCATGTCACTCCATCTACTGTTGTCACGCTTTGCGGTCTTGGGGAGTCTGCAGAGGGGCAGAAGTTCTGCTCAGTGCCACACAGCCTGAGGGTAGAGGATGGGCCCCTGTGCCTGAGTGCAGGCGGGGGGGGGGGTTCTGGCACTGCCCATTACATAATTCATTCAGCTCCAGGATGGGCGCTCACTTGGACTTGGGGTCTCCCAGCCTCAAGGCCCTGATGGTGAGGACCAGTGGAGAGGAGACCAGCAAGTCACCCACCAAGGTGACTGGCAGAGCTAATTACTGGGGGTCTGCTCCACTGCCACAAAAAAGCAAAGCTGTGGGGACCATGGGGGCCCAGGCTGAGTTCAGCATGCAGAGGCCACGGGTGCAGAGGGAGGCAGCGCCCCTCCCTGGCCTGCACCCTGGAGTGCCCGGGTCTCCCAGGGCACCCAAGGAATGGCTGGCACGGCCTGGGAGGCTGCTGCCCCGATGCTGAGGAGGCGCCTCTGGGCTGCGCTAAAAATAGCGGGGGGATTACAAGGTAGGGACAACCGGTGGGAGGCTTGTTAGGGAGGGCAGGAGGGAGACCGGGCTGCCTGGGCCGAGGACAGGGACACCGTCAATGGGCTGGGGCTCCCACCCTGCTTCTGGTTGCCAGGCCGGCCTCGGCCCAGCTGACAGGCTATTTTTTCCCCTGCTTGACTAAATATGGTCAGGGAGCACAGCCCGAGGGGGGCCACTTGGCCGGGCCGCGTGTTTGGGATGCTTGGCTGGGTATATAAGAGCTGCCAAGGTGAGGCTGCCTCTGATCCCGCACCGCCCTGGCCGCTGGGTCAGGCCCTGCCCCTCCCCGCCCCCCGCCGGCTGAGTCTCCGCATGTGGGGCCGCGTGCATGTGCGAGCGCGCACACCCGCGGGCCTTCCCTTTTGTTCCGCCCTGACCTCTACCTTGTGCCGGCCGGCCGGGCTGGGGGTGCAGGAGCTTCCTGCAGATGCGCCCCGAGCGCAAGGTGTGCAGCGGCCAGGCTGCTGCCGCTCCTTCCTGAACTCTGCATCAGCGCCTTCTCTCTCTCTCTCTCTCTCTCTCTCTCTCTCTCTCTCTCTCTCTCTCTCTCTCTCTCTCAAAGGATCTCTCGCTCTCTGTCTCTCCCCCCTCTCTCCCCCCTCCCTCTCTTCCTCCCTCCCTCTCTCTCAGGAGCTCCCTGCTCTGCTAAGTCTGCGCTGCTGCAGGAGGGGTGGGGGGCAGGGGTGCGGAGATGGGGTGCTGGTGTCTTCTTTCTCTCTCTGCCTCCCCCCAAGTGCGGACGCGGGAGCTCGGCCCGCCCCCACCCCTGCGTTCGCAATCGGCTCCGGGAGGAGGCGGCAGGCGCTGCTGCCGCTGCAGCATCTCCCGGGGAGCCGCGACCCTGCGCCCGCAGCCACTGCTGCCGCCGCCGCGGTCACCAGCCCAGCCCGAGGGCGCCCGGGCTCCCGGTGAGTCCCCCAGCCCACGGCTGCAGTCACCCGCCCTCTGGGGTGGTCCCTGTAAACTTGCCCGTGCTGCGGTGGGGGTGTGCCCGCCGGCAAGGTGGGTGCTGGCGCCGAGAGGCTCGGACGCTGTGCCTGGAGTTTTCTCTTGGCGCGTGGCACCAGCCACATTCGGAAAACTGCAGAGCCAGCAGCCGGCAGGGCTGGGCGGGCGAGTCCAGCCGGGATGCGGGAACTTTGACATGCGGGCTCTGCACAAGGAACCAGCCGCCCCCGGTGCCTGGTGCTGCAAGCGTGGATAGGGGTCGTAGCTTGGGGGCGGGGGGTCGGGATGGTGGGGGACAGGGGAGCTCATTTGACTGCAGCAAAGCCCCAGGGCTTGGACCGTGGCTAAACTTACCTTGGAACTTGCAGCATTGACCGCGGAGGGTCCAGTGGGGGCGGGGATCCCCGAGCAAGGCCGGCAGGCTAATCCTGATTGGGGCTCGGGATTTCCGGGGCTCTCCCAGGCCTCGGGGTCCAGAAGGTGCCTGAGCCCAGCGTTCCCAGGGAAGTGCACTCGTGGCTGGGGCCGGGGGCTCCGGAGGGCAGTCTGGGTCTGGGTTCGTGGCAGCCCTGCGAGGAAGCATGGCTTCCGCATGGCTGGGCGGGAGCAGGTGCGAGGGGGCGGGGTGGGGCACAGCCCTCCCTGCTGAGGTCTGCCAGGAGGCCGCTGATGCTGCTCTTCTGCTCAGGTGGAAAACTTTTGGGGAAGTGGCTGCTTCATTTGTGAGTGGGCAGCAGCGCTTGTGGACTCAGGGTGGTTTGCGCTGACTCTCCTGCCCTTTGCACACCCACCCCCCAGTTTCTGCTTGACCCCCTGGTGCCCCCGGAATGAACGCCTAGGGCTGGGGCGTGGGCTTGAACCTGGAGGGAGGCTGGGAGGTGGGGGCTGCCTTCTCCCTTCCGTGACCCATTCCGAGGCTCTCTGGGTCAGGGCAGCAGCTCATGGCAGCCAGGGGCACCCCAGGAAGATGGGAGCTGGGCAGTCTCTGTTGCCCTTTCCTATCCTTGGCTACATGGAAATGAGAAATGACAGCAGCCACGTGGGAAAGGGACACCAGATTCGCTCTTCTGCCCGGAAGCCCCTTCCTGTGTGGGGTACCTTGCCGCACCCCACACGCCTCCCTGGGGGACTCACGCCAGCCCTACCTGCCGCAGTCCCCACAGCCCAGGGACCTGGAAGATGTGCTCAGGTGCCTCTGCACGCTGCGGGCTTTGCGGTGCCCTGGCTCCAGGACAGGGAGTCCGGACACCCTCTGGGCTGCAGTCTCACAGGGGTGGGGGCAGTCAGGTCATGCCGGACATCATCTTGCTGACAAGGGAGAACTGGACATCCTTTTGGGTCCCAGGGCCACCCTTCAGCCCCACACCAGGCTGGGGGCCCAGCTGGACCCTCCCACTCAGCAAATCCTGTTTGTGCTGGCCTGCTCCCTGCAGCCTGCAGCCTGTCCTCGCTCTGCCTCTGCACGGGCACCTGACCTGACACTCTCCTCCCAGGCTCCTGCAGCTCACCTGCAGGCCTCACCCGGGCGGGCGGGGCGGTGTTGAGGCCTTCAAGCCCCTCAGGCTTTCTCCTCCTCCTCTTCCTCCAGACTGAGGGTGGCCTCTCTAACTGTAAGGTCCCATTGACCTCTTCATATTTTCCAGAGTGCCAGCTCCTCACTGGGTGTGGAAGTTAACAGGGGAGATGGGATTCTCTTTCACTCCCAGAGAGATTTCAAAATGCAATGGGAAAATACTGATGTGATTCTGGATTCTGAAGGGCTCTACTTGTACTTGTTAAGTTTACTTAAACTCTCTTTAATGGGTACATTAGAAGCTGGTATGAATGGGGAACTCAGAACCAGGAAGGCGGGCCCTGCTGAGGCTGGGACTGGCACTGTAGCCCATGTCAGCTGGTACTGATGGGGGCTGCTGGAGGCTGGGCGGGCCCAAAGGCCAGGCGAGGGGCTGGCCCTGCAGGGCTGCTGTGCGGTGTGCTGGGCCCTGGGCACTGGGCTGGGCTGCCTGCTCACCACCATTCAGGGAGGCCTCGCTGCACCACAGGGCACAAGCAGCTCCCCAAGAAGCCAGGAGGGGATTGAGGGTGCAGGAGAGAGGGAAGGAGAGCCCAAGGAGGCGGGGCCAGAGCAAGGTGCTCTCCAGTGGCCAGGAGTGGTCGCCTCTCAGAAGCCCATTTCCGGGGACATGAAGTCCATGGATGACTGTCTTTCTCACTGACATCTTCAAGAAAGACACCAAGCCCTCCTCCTGGGGACTTTCATCTGGGAAGGCAGGATTCACCAGGGATCTGCTCATGAAGCTGACAGCCGCCCAGGTAAGGCTTCCCAGCTCACTTCTGGGGCCATTCAGGCTGCCTCCCCCAGTGGGAGGGCTCCTCATGCATCCACAGAGAGTGGAGTTGGGGGTCAGGGAGATGGCTCAGTGGGATAAGCGCTTCCCTGGCAAGCACAGAGAGCGGAGTTGTCCAGCTCCTGGAGAAGGTCACTGGCCCTTGAGGGTGGCAGGCCCACGCTGCTGGGAGCACCCAGCTATTCCCGAGGTCCTACCGCTTCTCTCGGTCTCCACTGCCCTTGGCAGGGACAGGAGGCCCAGAGGAGAGTGAGCGTGGTGCTGCCTCTGAAATCTGGGCAGTGGACGACACTCCCACCTCTGGGATGAGCGCAGGAAGTCTTGTCTTGTTCTTCTGATGCCTAAGTGAGCAACTGTTTGGGAAGGTTATTGGATTCTTGACACTTTCTGGTCTGCGGGGTGTGTGTGTGTGTGTGTGTGTGTGTGTGTGTACATGTAAGTGAGAGAGAGACAGACAGGCGTGTAGTGCAAGTTGGTGATGGAAGAAAGGGTGTCCTGACCCGGCCCAGAGGGCTCAGGGTGTGGGATGGGGTAGGCGCTGCGGCCTTCTCCTTCTCTCTGGAGTGGGGCTGGCTCCTGCCGCTGCTTCCCAGGCCACACACCTGGCTACTGAATGACCTGCTTGGGAAACATACTTCTTTATATGCCCATGTGGACCTGCTAAGCTATGGAATGTAAAGAAGTATGTATTTCAGGCCAGGGACGCTGTCGCCATTCCGAGGAGCAGCCCAGCCCTCGGCCAGCTGCCCAGGCTCAGGGGAACCAAGAGACAGGCTGCGGCCAGGCTAGGGCTGGGCGAGGCTGCCTGGCGGCGGGACATCCGTGTCCCTGCCGGCATTGTTCTGTCACTTTGCCTGTGTCAGCAGGTGGAAGTGCTCATCAGACATTAAATATTCAGTGTGCTGACTGCGGCAGAGGGGAGATGGCCTGGGGCAGGCGTGGGGTCCTGTGTACAGTTGGCGGGGGCCGGGGGCCACGGGGTCTTGGCTTGGAGACTAGGGTGGTGGCAGCTCCGGAGGCTGCACTTCTGCCATCCCGAAAGAGGCCATTCGACAGCTGACAGGACCATGTGTGGTCAGGGGCAGGAGCCTGTAAGAGGTGCAGGAAGAACAGGGGCTCCCCAAAGGAGGAGTGAGATGTGGGGTGCGAAGCAGAAAAGCCACCTCTGTCCGTATGGGGACGCCCTGGAGGAAGCAATGCCTCCTGGTTGCCATCCGGGCTCCGTGGCTGCACAGGTGGAGGGCCAAGGGGCCAGAGAGCCCCACACGGAGCCTCTGCCAGCCCAGGAGTGGCCCCAGGACCCTCCTCTCCCCGCAGAGCCTTGACCACCATGGTGATTAAGACAAAGGGGCTGAACCTGCCCACCCTGGGCCCACAGCGTGCTCTGGAGGCCTGGGGTGATTTGAACTTGCCAGATCTCTGGACTCATTCTGTCCTGCCTGCAGCCAGCCAACATTGCTTTTTCTTTTCCATCAAATCCAAAAGTGCCTTTGTGGTGAAGGCTGGTGAGGTTTCTGCAGAAAGCCGCGTGTGGGCCAGGACTCCTGCTCCAGCCCACCGTCCTGCCTGCTTTGGCGCCAGCCTGTCTCACTGGGGGAAAGGCTGAGCTGACATCCTGTGAGTCCCAGGCGGTGAGGACAGGTTGAAACTGGGAAGCCTTTTCCACAGGGCTGGACCTTCTCGGGCCAGAGAAGGGCAGAGTGCTCTGAGGCCGTCTGGGCGGCCTTGCTGGGCTGGTGGGGCAACCGTGGTTCATTTCTGGGTTTCAAAGTGGAGGCCGCCACACAGACCACCCCCTCCACAGCCTGGGACCCTTCCTGCCTGTGTTAGCACTGCTTTCCAGCCCTAGCATGGCTGTGGTTGTGTGTGGCAGGTGCAGCTGCCTGTCCTGCCCCCGACCTCGGTGGCAGTGTGATCGGGAGAGGCAGGCAGGCCCCCTGCATCAGCTGCTGCAAGCACTGGGCATGGGGGTAGCCATTCCAAGGATCCCAGGACCAAGGCACCAGGGCAGTCTGAGCTTGCGGGAGGCTCCCCTGCCTGGGGAGTCTCAAGGTGACTCATTGAGGTGCTGGCCTCCCTAGTGCAAGTCCCTTCCAATCTCTAAGTCCTCTTCAGAGGCTGTGTTTGCTTGTGACCTCTGCCCTGTGGTGCTGGTGGTGGGCGTGGCCGTGAGAAGGTAGCGCTGTCCTTGCTCACTGCTTCCCTTCTGGCCAGTGTCTCCAGAAGAGTCAGTGCCCTGCACCGCTGGAAGGTCATCTGCCCTACACGCTTCCAGCTCCGGCCACAGGGAGGGAAGTAGCGCAGCATGCAGCCACTGGGGCCGCGGGCGGCCACAGACATACCACTGACTTCCGCGAGATGCGTCTGTCGTACATTAAAGCTTTATTGCAGGATGTGGTGTTTAAATAAAAGCATTAGTGTTTTGGAATTAGGTTTGACTGAGCAGTAAAGCTAGAGGGGTCGTAGGGAGTGAGCCGTGGCCTGCTGGCCATAAATCTCCTCTGGTCTCGACTTGCTGAATTAAAAATGAGCATCTCTTGCATTCCTCCCTGGACGCCCAAGCCCCTCTTCCAGCACGTGTCACTCACCATGGGCTGCTTCCCTGAGGACACTCAGGACCTGAGGGTTGGGGCACCCTGTGCAGAGCCTCCATGTCCTTCTGTAAGCAGGGCCCAGCACCAACGCCGTGGATGCCAAGACTTTGTTCCATTGGGCCTCTGCACGGGAAGAGGCGCAGCCTGTGCCCTCCGCAGGACTTTTCCAGGATGACGCCACCCAGGCATAATGCCAGGGATGGGGGGGACTCTGGAGGAGAAAGGAGACTGTATGGGGACTGGGGGGGCAGAGGTGATGCTCTATCCCTTGGGATGCTCCTGCCAGCTCTGAGGCCGGGGTGCTTGCAGCTGTAATGAGAAAACGCACGCCGCTTTCTCTGCGCTCGCCAGGCCAGGGACGCACCCTCGGGAGCCCTTGAGTTTTCCAGAACCCTCTGGAAGTGTTGGGATCACAGCACTCAGACACTGGGTCTGGACCTTGCTGGGGAACTGTAGCTCCAAGAGCTCCTTGGCTCAGCCAGCAAACCAGCGAGGCTCTCTGTGCTGTGCCCCCAAACTCAGCTATGCTCCATTCCGCATAGAGCTTCGGCATGTGAGGACGACCAGTTCTGAGAGAGGAGCGGGCCTCCCGGGAGGCTGCAGCACTCTGCAGACAGCCAGGAGCTGCCGTGTGGGCAAGGCACAGGTCTGACAAGTCCCTCGTGTTCTTGTAGCTAGGTGGCCCACTAAGCTGTGGCAGTCCTTCTAAAGGGTGGGGGGTGCCAGCGACTCGAATTTAATACATCAAGTGCAATAAAGCATTTATAGCATGAGCGTTTCGAAGCGGGGGTGGGCCTGGTAAGAGCGTTCATAGCGGGAGGCTCAGCGATCTCATCTAGCACTGTCAACCTCACATGAAAAACATCGTGTTGAAGAATCACCTGTTATTAAGCATGATTAGACTGACCACAGGACGGGTGTTTTAGCTGCTGCAGCCAAGTCAAAGTGAACATAGCTTGAATTGCGTACCCCCCATGCACTAATTTAAAAAAGAGAGAAGTTAAGTAATCTTTAGGCTAGGGCATGGCGGAAAAGATACTGGCCAGGAGGGGCCTTTTGGGCCAGGAAGGCGGGAGGGTGGGCAGGGCGGTAGAACTGCACCAGTTGCTGCCACCTTAGCCAGAAGGGTAAGCCAGCAATCGGAGGAACTTGTACCCGCTTACACTGCTGTGCATGTCTGTCTGCTGAAGCCCTCTGACACTGCTGCCCAGCTCCCAGCCATGGGTGCCCAAGAGCAGGACACCTCCTCAGGGAGACCAGGCCTGTTCTGGGAGCACAGTGTCCCCTAGGGATGACTGGGGGCCCTCAGCACATGGCTTTCTGAGGGACCTGGCCTTGCCCACCAGCTTCTGTGCCTGGGGTCCTGGCTGCATCCCACCAGGAGCAGGTGGAAGGGGAAGGGGCAAGGCCAGCAGGTCCTGCAGGCTGCAGTCTGCCCTTTCCTGGGCCTAGCTCCTGGCTGGCCAGAGCTTGGGCTGGGAGGTTCCCCAGCATCCCGTGAGGACTGCTGTCAGTGATCCCTGTCCCAGGCCAGTTGACCCTGGGCAAGCCGTGCCGTGAGGGTGGGGAGGGTGGGAGCTGCAGTAGCCGCTGCAGGAGTGGGGCCGGTTGCTGCTGGAGGCTGCTGGGTGCTGCAGCGCAGCTGTAGGCGCATGCAGGGCCACGCGCCTCAAGGGCAGGGCTGGGAGGCCACCGCCAGCAGCTCGCAGCCAGCTCCACACAGCACATCAAGGCCTCCGCAGAGGCTGGGAAACCAGGCCGACTCCCCAGGCTTGGCGAGGCACAGTTGCTTCGGCCAGCTCTGCCTTCCTCCAAGCGGGCTACCCTGGCTGGGTGCAGCTGCAGCAAAGGGGGAGACAGAGCCTCGCAGATCGCTGAGCCCACCAGGTGGAGAGCAGGGACAGAAGCCCCTGCAGGAGTGCTGCACGGAGGAGTCGCTCTCGCAGCTAGGAGGTGGTCCCCCAAAGTGGTGGAGCGTCTGGGGTCCTTCCCCTAGAGGACAAACCCTGGCTTGGGGCAGGATCTGTGAGGCCTGGGCTGGGCTGACAGATGCGCGTCCAGGTGTGTGTGTGTGCACACATGCTTGGAGGGCGGATTCTGGGAAGAGGGACAGTAACCCGGGGTATTTTTAACTGCAGGGAGGAGCAATGGCAGCTGTCCTGGAGCCTGTCATGAGGGGCCTGTGGGGACTTTGTGAGGCTGAAGGACACCCAGGGCAGATGTGCCGCCTGGGTCCTGTGCCCCTGGCAAGCCTGTGTGCCCTTAGTCATGCCCAGATATGGCCACAGGGCCGTGTGCATCTCCCTGCTAGCCACGACTAGTATAAATAGTCCACACGCTCAGCTGTTCCGTGGAGGGGCTGAGTGGCTGA